ACTACCCTCAAAAACTGACACTGAAGTTTTCATTTAACATTCGACCTATCATTCAGGGGTAGTGACGGCCACACCCACACCGTTTCTAAATTGGTCATTTAGCACTGGTTTTGCACAATCCTCACCATTGTCCAATCTTGCACAATCCGCCAAAACACGTGTTTCTTGATGTAAGCATGGTGGCAAATATTTTACCACGGGACAGGAATGACTGATTCACCACAACACTATGAGATATATGATGCATCCATGACTTTAATAAATTAGGGTCCTTTTGTTTAAGTTTTTTCAGTGAAAAAATCCCCTATTTTTTTGGAAACAAAATCCATTTTGTAAGATTTTATGATGTTTGTTTAAACTTTTAAAAATAATCAAATTTAAAAAAATATTTCTGATTATTTTTAAAAGCTAATTTGAGTAGTTTCTAAAAATAATATAATGCGATAAATAGGAGAGAATGTCATAAAAATGTGAAATACATGAAACATCATAAAATTGTAAATAACTAAATAATAAATCATTTTTATAATAAAGATTCATAAAGATGTTATAATATCTAAAAATTAACTAACAGTTAATTAGACTTATGTACTTATCCTTCTACGCTTAATATATTATATCCAATCAAATTATCACAAATGGATCTTAATATATTAATAAAATTAATAATAATAATTTATTATAAAATAAATAATTCATAAGAGATCCACATATTTTAATTTAAATGGAAACAAACACATTAAATTATAAGGCTATGTATTTAAGTTTTCCTCATAACTAAATAATAATTATTTTTTATTATTGTAACTAAACATAAAATTATGTATGCTTTTATAAAATCTTAATAAAATAATCTTTTTATAAAGTTTTTAAATTATCTAAAAAAATTATTTTTTAATCTTAAAACAAACAATTCCTTAATCAACTAAGCAAAAAGACTGATTGATTATGAGATAACCTTGCAAAGCATCAAGTAGTTCCAAGAACTTACGATCCCACATTCAAAATGTAATGGCTCCCCCAAAAAAGGATCCCTTTCATTATAAGTGTCCCAAAGATAATAACAGATTTTCAGCCATTAGGATCAGTTGCATGATATTACTAATTAGCATATATTCAGTATGTTGTAACAATATATAAACACAAAATGATATATTCATTTATGTAACTGACAAAAATATGGTCCTGCAAAAGATGAACATAAGATCGATGCCTGCAGACATAGTTTTATTACTTTCAAAGGTTCAGATGTGACTTGAACACAATTGGTAAATTAGTTGGGACATTTTTCAATAAAAGAGCATTCATCTTCACAATAAAGTGCAAGCTGGTATCATACTTCTCATGTAGTTATTATTTTCCCAATAGAAAGTGTTGTGCATGGAGAATACATAAAGCACATAAAAATCTAAATCAACTCTATTAATAGCTGAATTCTTGAATCAAACTTGACAGGAAATTATTTGACTCTAGTTGAAAAGAGGTGTCAAAAACACAGAATAATTTGCAGCAGAATGGTAACAATTTGTGTCAAGAGTGAAAACCAGTATCAAGGCAAGCAAAGAACTTATTTCATTTAGATTAACAAGTTCATTGTTAAAGTGGTGTGTCACCAAGAAGACATCTCTCAAGCAAGGACATGATACAAGCAAGATGATTCTATCAAATGGAGAAACAGGTGGTACCATTTATCAGTGCATGTAACACCCGACTCCTGCACTCCATTGAAAAATCCGAAAAAGAATAGAAATTTCCATAGTCATTTCTCATCGTTTCAACCTGAGACCACAGAGATATCAGGATCTGTGAACTGGATATTTTCAATGATGCTTTTTTCTTCCTCATAGACATGAATACCAGACAAATCTATATTCATTGTTGGGATTCCATTGTCATCTGAAATTACCCTACAAGGATCATATGGCTTGTGGTATTTCAACTCCCATGAAACCTGAACATGATTCCATTTATGTGCAGAAATCACCCTCTCATGTTTGCACCGTATGCCACACCAAATTATATGTTTTGCCATTTTTGATTATAAACTATATAATTACACAAACAAGTAAGTTGTTCAGAACCATTGACAAACACTCTCAGCTTAATATCCAAGATAGAATCGTCCACTTCTGTGCCTGGTCCCCCGATCAAACATATGGCTATCTTTGGGAATTTCTCACAGAACCAGAAAGACACTGATGAATCCCTGCTTGCATGGAAGGCTCTTAATATTGTCCCTGGGTCCTCCTTAAATGGCAAGATTCTAGAGCATTCCCCAGAATAAGGAACTCCAATGCTAGCATTGGAAAGCAGAACGAAACTAACCAAAGTAGATGGAAGATTAAATATTTGAATGAAATTTGTTTCACTTTCACTTATACACCACCCATTAAGGTACTGTTCCCAAACAGGACAAATTAGACTTTCATCACTAACAGCTGGCAGAGAATAGAGAGAAACTGTGGCTGGAAACACTTCTGACGTCCGCTTTTCCAGAATTTTATACCCTCTAGATAAGCGAAACCCTCTACTCCCGTAAGCCAGAACCACCTCGAGTTCAGGGATTATTGATATGCTGCTTGGAAGCTGTTTCAGCCATTTACATTGCCTCAAGTATAGATGTTTCAACCCAATAAGATTTCCAATTGAGAACGGCAGTTCTTTTATGGCAGTTTGATCCAAATAAATGTCTCTTATGCTCTACATGGGCTCCAATACTTCTGGGAAAACCCTAAGACTTGAGCAACCCCTGAGATCTAGAGTCTCAAGAGAAGTCAATTTGATGCGAGATACCAACATTTCGAGCCGAGTGCAACCTTGGGCACTCAACAATATGAGCTTATCAAGAGACCCAACTGATTCATGAACCCTCATCAAATTTGTGCAATTATCAAGGCACAACATCCCCAAGTTACGCAGTGCAGATAGATCAGGTAATTGTGTTAAGAATTTGCAACCTTCAAAATCCAAAAAACTTAAAGAATGAAACCCCTGCAAAATGATCAAATTTACTTATCACTAATATGTAAGACCAGTAGGGTAAAGTAGATAGAAACCATAAAATCTGTACATGCCTTTGGTGGTTTGAAATTTTAAGGCAGCTTTCAGGAAGGCTAAGTATGATGAGTTCCTCGGGGTTAAAATCAGACGGTAAAGACGATGATGGATATCCACTCCAATCCAATACCCTCAAAGTATTTGGGAGATATTCCGGGCCTCTAGAAAAGCACGCATTCTCAATAATAAGGATTCTCAGGTTTTTCATCTTCTTGAACGCCACCCCACTCCATCGCACTTCTTCATCTTTGCGTAAGTGCATCATAATGACTTTAATTTTCTCAGTTCCCTTTGAAAGCCAAAGCGTAAACAAACCACTGATTTATTAGAAATGCCATACCCATATCAAGTCATCTTAACTACTTAACTAAGTTTAACTTTTAATATGCCAAGCTTCAAGTAAATGTTGAAAGAGGGATAAAGTTGGGGTAAAACTAAAAAGAAAAAAAAATAACCCATTTCATATTCATCAAGATAGATCGAGGAGAAAAGTAAAGCCATGAGATATATTAAATTACCGTATTTTCTTCCAAAACATGAATAATGTCTTTATCAAACCACAACCTACTGCGTTTGCCGGGCTCAAATGTTGATTCTTCTCTAACAATTTCTCTGCCCATGTTTTGAATTAAGTCATGCATCCTCACACAGTTCGACCTATCAATTTTGATGAGAGATTTGTCCCTCAAGACTTTAATGCCAATGTCTCAGTGTAAGCCACGCGCATAAAGCATTTCCTTGATGTAACTCTGTTTTAATTTATTAAAGAAACATGCAATGTCAAGGAAAATTTCCTTCTCATTCTCTTCCAAACTATCATAGCTTATTTTCAGTATGTTATGGACGTCTCTGTCAGCAGTTCTTTCATACTTGTCTAGCATAGAATTCCATTCTTCTATTGTTTTACCAAATAAGTTAGAGCCTATTACTTCCAAAGCCAACGGAAGGCCACCAGCATAAAAGACTGCACGATTTGAAACATCCATGTATCTTGGATCAACTTCGTTATTCTTAAAAGCATTCCAACTCAACAATTCAAGAGATTTTCTGACATTTAGCTCCTTGACCTCATACAGTTTTTCTACCCCATGAGTAGTAAGCAAATCGCTGTTTCTTGTTGTGATAATGATCCTACTCCCAGAACCAAACCAGTCATGTCCTCCGGCTACAGCCTGTAACTGTTTAAGCTTATCAACATCATCAAGAATCAAAAGAACCTTCTTAGGGCGGAGCCTTCGTTTTATAATTGGATTCCCTCTATGAACATCTCCAAGCCTGATGTCATTTTCTGCAACAAGTTCAGAAAGTAGCGTCTCTTGCAGTTGTACGAGTCCATGCTTATTAATTGCCTTCTCTCTAATATCAGCAAGAAAACATAGACCTTCGAATTGATCACCAATTAAGTTATAAACAGCACGTGCAACTGTTGTTTTACCTACTCCTCCGATTCCATAAATCCCTACCATGACCACCTTATCAGACCCGAGTTCCAAAAGTGAGATTACGTCTTGAACAGAAGACTCCAGCCCAACAGGGTGATTAGCGATATGTAAGGGAGTTCGATTGATCTTTTTGGATACCTCCTCAATGATCCCACTAATAAACTTATATTCAGATTGAGACCTGCCACGGGACGAAAAATCATGCGAGGTGAAACTGAAGTTAGTAGTCACATGTAATGTACACTCCCTATATCAAGATGAATTTCAATTCCGTTTTTGAAACAATAAGTAGGAAAATTGTCATGCAAACGACATACAAAAAAATAATAACAACAGAAAACTGTGGTAAAAGGCACCCATGTTGGAAATGCCAGCCAGATATGCTAGCTGCTTCACATATAGCCTCCCTCCACTTTCTCACTTTCTCCTTGTTGACTTGGAATCGGATCTCGTGTTTTGCTAACGCCTCTCCGTAACTCCCACTCTGATGCCGGACTTCCGATGGATCAACACCGTAGAACACTGGCCAGACCAACCGACCTTCTCCCTTGACGGAGTGAAGTATGATGACAAGTTCATCGAGGCAAAAAGTCGAGGATGCATAATTTTCGGAGAAAACAATGATGGCAATCCTAGATTGTTGAATGGCATTGGTAAGAGCCGGAGTGGTTTCTTCTCCTCTTTAGAGCCGACATCATCAATGAAGGTGAGAATACCCTTTTGATGAAGGGAATTGTAGAGATGGCCGGTGAAATTGTTGCGGGTATCTTCACCTCTAAAACTGAGGATCACGTCGTAAGTCCATTCTCCAGTGAAGGAGGAGGATGGTAGACCTTGACGCGCCATGAAAATTGAAAGCTTGGACCAGTACACGGATGTCTCTGATATCAGCTGAGAAACTCAAAATTTGAGAGCGGGTACAAGATGAAAGCCTCACAAGCTGCCGTAGAATTAACTCGGAGAGCCGAAGAAAGCTTCCTCTCACTTCTTTCTCAACGGGCAGTTGACTTGCCTACACCACATTGACTATAAGAAGTTTGCTCCTTTAATTTAATTTTATAAATTGTTTTGTCTTCCTTTTTTTTAATCAAAAAAATAATTTAATTCTATAAATTCCTCCATCTTTCCACTTAATACCTTTAATTAAATAAATGTAAATTTTTATGAATGACATTGTTTAAAAAATATTGATTGTTTCATAAATTTTACAAAATAAATTGTAAATAACAACATAAAATTTTTATAAAAAAACATAAAAATTATAAAAATGACTAATAAGCCTTGAGAAACTAAAAGTTTGGTTAAAATGTCTGCATTTTATTGCTACTTTTTTTTTCATGCTCTCCTTTCCTCTCCATTCTTTTACATGTGTAAGTATTTTTTTTTTTCTCTTGGAAGCTTGTTTTGTAGATGAATATAAAACATGATATTTTAAAAAAAATTCAATAATTTTATTCTTATTATCTTGAAAAGTGAAGGGGATATTGATCATATACTTTATTCATAGCATGATATTAATTACGATATATATATTATAATTGTGATATATATCAAAAACAAAACTGAAAAATGTTATATTTTATGTGGTTTTTATCAAATAATAAATTTTTATTAATATGTAAGATTTGGCTAAAAACTATAAGAGTACATAACCAGAAACTCTTGAAGATGAACACAATTTCAACTACAACCCACGAGGAAATTTTTATTTCCTCTTGTTTATTCTTGGCCTATAAGTTTAAGATGCAAGGATAATTGAGAAATCAATACTCCTTCCTTCTATTACAAAATATAAGTTATTGTAAATGTTTTAAGTTGTAATTAATATACTTTTTTCAAGAATATCCCATAATAAATAAATCACTTTATACTTATTTCAAAGTGAAATACCTTATTAAATCAGGGTGAATATCAAAAAATGACATTAATTTGAAGATAATTAATTACTTTATTAAGATAAAATGTAATTAAAAATATCTTGTATTTTTTAACGGATGGAGTATATACCAAGGATAACATATGCCTCTAAACTCTGATATCAGCTGCCAAACTCAAACAGTCAAGAGCAGAGAGGAAGATGAAAGAGCAGCAACTTGCCATGCAATTGTGGTGGTCTTATGAGGAAGCTTCCTTTCATTTTACTCGCAATCCTTCACGCATCAAAATTTTTGGTTTGCTCTCTGTAGCATTGTGTTCAATTTGCCTATGCTTGAGGCTATTTGGAGAAATTAGAAGTTTTATACTAATCAACAATAATATAATGTCTCAAATTGACGTAATCTCAGTAGTTGATAACACTTTTGCCGCAACTATAGCAAAAAACTCTTAAATATGAACACAGTTTCCTATCAAGTCTCTTTTATTAC